GGATCGAATTTCTCATGACTCATATGTCCTAGACAGATATCAATAAGGTGATGTTGATCCCGACAATAACCAGGGCTAGGCCACAAAACAATCGATCCGACTCATTTTTATTACTAATATTTTTGTTCTTCTATGCTACACATTTATTCATTCTAATTAAATGCTAAATCGTATTAACTCTATTTATTTATTTCAAAATCTAAAAATTAGATCGCAAAAAAAAAATATATATATATATAATTATAATTAACATCTAAATTATTAATTATAACATACATGATGATCCTGAATAATTTTGATATGAAGCACTTTGTGTACGTATTAAAGATGTTCCATTATTCCAATTAAAAAATAATTCCGATGGATGATTTGTATAATTAAATGGAATATTTGAAGAAGAAGAAGAATGATTATTAGATATAGATGGTGAATACATTGAATTTGATGTTTGTAAAGTTGATTCAGCTATAAAACAAAAACAATAAATATTATATAATATATTTATCAATATATTCATACTATGACGTCGATAAAAATTTGGATTTGTATTATTAAGATTTGGAATTGTATCAAAAGATGAATGATGATAATATTTATTTATTGATGGTATACCACCGGTTGTAAATAATGATGATTGATTATATGTTGAATAATTTGGTTTTTCCCAAGAATTATCATGACGATAATCATATGTCATTGTTGGATATGAACGATTCACTGCATAGTTATTATAATCTAATAAGAATAAAAAAATAACCAAACATAATATAATATCTTTTAAACTTACCAATAGATTGAGGCATTGTATTAACGATATTTTCTGTTACTGTCATCATGATCTAAAACTATATATATATATACACAAAAAAAAAGCGATCATTATTCATTCATTAAAAAAAAAAAAAAGTAGACCCACTTCGTCACGACAACTGTATGTATGTGTGTGTGTATGCCTTCTTTCTATAGATGAAGAATAGACATTTGTTCGTTCTGAACGAACAAATACAGGAGAATGAGAAAAAAAGAGAGATGCTCGACGTCTCGTCTTTCTCTTAATTATACAGTTTTGCTCTTTCGTTCTGTCAGCTTTTTTTTTCTCTTGTGGATTTTTTTTTCCACAAAGCAATGGAAAATGGAACTATGCTATCTCATTTTCTATTCTTTGTGAATGGCGGTCGACATCCTCTCGTCTCCCGTCATTATAAATATATACATACGGACACTCCTTTCTTTTCGTTCTGATGTCGGACTAGATGATAAGACAGATATATATATATAAGATGCATGACCACTACTGTCAAGCTAGTTGTAACTCACAAAAATGATAATTGATCACTCTCATATATATATAAGCTTCAATGGTTTACTTTCCTATCGGGAGGTTAAGAGAAGAAAAATGTGAGCATCTGTCTATGGTATGACCCATTTCTTTTCACGCACCAATAAGAAAAAGAAAGAAAAAAAAAAAAAAAATAATCTTGTCTATTACTTTTTTTTGAAACAAAAAAAAAAACTGAATAGAAACAATAGACAGTAACCTAACATGGTAGAAGTGATAGTTAATTCTCTCAAAAAAAAAAAAGATACTTGTCTTACACAAACAAAAAAGAGAATATTGAATGTAAAATAAGGAAGACAAGACAAAATACAGAAAAGAATGCCTATATATATATAAATGTATTTTTTTTTTGTTGAACATCGCAAAAAAAAAAAATATATATACATAGACATAATATAAGATTTTACTGTTGTACACAATGAAATATATCTATCTAAATCAATAAATGATATAATACAATTAAATATACACATATATATATATATATATTAGCAAGTCGATAGAAAATTATCTCGACGACAAATAGGACATGATGAATTCATTGCAAACCAACGTGCAATACATTTTGAATGATATTCATGTTGACATGGAAGTACACGAATATGTTGTCCATTTTTAAAATGTGACATACAAATAACACATGCTGTTTGTTTTGATAATATTGTTGATGTTATTATTGGTATTTTATAACGATAAGAAAAAAATTGTTGTATATCAACTTTATTAAAACGATTTGGATCAGATAATTTTTCTGCTAAATCTAATAATTGTTCATAATTTTCACGTTCACGATATGAACGCCATGGTTGTTGTTGAAATAAATGATAATGATGATGATGTTGTTGTTGTTGTTGTTGTTGATGTAATTGTTCATCAGATGAACATGTTGATGTTGATTCAGTTGATGAATCCGAATGTGCTGGTGATATATTTCCTGTTCGTATTATTGTTTGTTGTTTATTATCAAATAAAAAATTTGTTGTACGTAATGGACTAGAACTATTTAAACGTATATTTGTTTTTGAAGATTTTGATATAGTACCTTATTTAAAAAAAAAACAAATAAATAATTTTTAGCACAAAAATTTTTTTATTTACTTTTTTGATTTGATGTTATTAATGAATTATGAAATATAGATGAATGTTGTTGTTGTTCAGTTAATAATGATGAGTATTGATTAGATAAATTATGTTCATGATTAGGTACACTATTTGTTCGATGATATGTTGTTGGATGTAATAATGATGAAGGAATATTATTAAAAAATAATGATATATCATTTGTTGTTTGATGATTATTCCATGTTGATAATAAATTATCTTCTATTGGTTGTTGTTGTTGTTGTTGTTGTTGATGAAAGAATAAAGATCGACGTTTATTAGTTAAATGTGGTGGTTGATTTTCTAATTCAATCTTATTATTATTATTATTATTTGAATTTTCATATCGAGCTCGTTTATATGTCTAGAAATTAAAATAACAATGAATTATTTTTTTTTTATAATATACTCAAAAGTGTACAAGAATTATTTCGTAGAGAATTTTGGATTTTGAACATATTTTTAAAGTTGTACTCGTGAAAAAAATAATAAAATGTAGATACTATAATAAATTTTTTAATTTGAAACAGGAAAATCAAACAATGATGTACTATTTTATCTATCGAAAACTTTTTCAACTATATATAATAAATTCTTATTAATTATCATTTTAACTTACAAATGGTTCATGTTCATGAAGAAATTGATGTGTTGTAAAAGTGACTAGATCATCTTGTGCTGATCGTTTTCGAGTTCCTATTGTTGATGTTAAATTAAGATTTCTATCATAAATAAAATCTTGATTATTTGAATATAATTGTGTTGATAAAGATTGTTCATTAGTCATTGAACAACGTCGACGTTTATTTGATATAGTTACTGGTGTTGATAAATATTCAATTGATATAGGTATAAGTTGTTCATGATTAGAATTTGTTCGATTATTTTCTTCATCAATATGATCATTATTAATTAAATTATTATTATTATATCGTCTTAAAGATGAATTATTTTCGTTTTCAGCCATAATTTTTCTTTTCTAAATTATCATCATTCTAAAAAATAGAGAAGAAAAAAAAAAAAATCTTCAATACAAGGCAATAATCTATCAACATACATATATACAATAGACGCCCTAACTTCACTCGTTTGTAAGCAAAAAAAAAAGAAGAATGAGAAAAGAACGAATGTCTACTGATTCATGCGTACTCATATGTAGGCAACCAAAAAAAAAAAAAAAGGGAGCATAGGAGAATCGTGAGTGCATACTCTCGTCGCTACAACACCGACATACATACATATATGTGAATATATATAGAAAAAAGAATGAGGGAAGAGAGAGAGAGAGATGAGGGTCAATAAAGATGATCGTTCTCGTTTTTTTTCTTTTTTTTTTTTTGGGAAAAATAGGTCGTCTGAACAATGTTAAAAGTTAAAGAGAATAAATTACAATGATTATTAATGAAAAAAGATATATAATTAACTAATAGAAATGAACATAGGTCTGATTGATTAAATACCATTGAATTCAATGACAAAAATTCTTATCTATCTATGATGTAATACAGTTTGTACATAATAAATGATCAAGACATTTACTTAAATTTTAAGGACAAAATGTAATATTCAATTGATTAAATCAAACTTCAAAAAGATATGATTAAAATCAATAGATAAAAAATAATAAATGAATGATGATCATACTATCAGTAATGAATTCTTATAGACTAGACAATCTTACAAATAAATAATGGAGCTTTTACACTTTAGAACCTCAAATAATCAACTGTCTCGCCCTCACGCACACTTTCGTGCTTGTGTTGTGACCAATCAGATATGTCTGGGGTCCTAAAGTGTAAAAGGACCTGATTGTCCCCCCCTCCGCAGTCAGAAATATTAGGAAAAATAATTTTTGAATTATGAAATCAAAAATTTGCATAGAAGTAAACTTCAATGAATATTAGTTTATTGTATAAATTTTAGACCGTTTTTCATTGTTTGTATCTTAAAATATACATCGTCTATAGTAATAAAATATCTAATACATCCTTCATATATTCGATGTTCTTATTTCCAGATAGAAATACTAAAAAAGATCTAAAACATTCACAATAAATAATGATACATTTTTATATAAAATTTCAAATTGAAAGTTCATAAATTAGTTTTTCTTGTTGTGATGAATTAGGGACTATAAAAATGTCGAGATTAATAGGCTAAAACTCTGAACTATTTTCAGGATATTCATAGTTCGTTAGAGTCTGTATAGTCTTAATTTATAAGCGCTTACTCATTTAGGAAACTTTCCTCGTAAATATTTCACCATATATTCAAATGTTGAATCATTAACTGTATAACGATAAATGGACAATAGTTTACATTCTATTTTTAATTATAATCTGAAACAAAAAAAAAAAAGTATGTTTACAATATTTATGGAAGATCTTCGAATTATCGAAGATTTATTTGTTTTTTTTAAACAAGTTTAATTTACAAAAAATCCTAAAAATTAAACATAACTAGAAGATAAACATTCGTTGATATAATATTGTTTTTTGTTTTCTCTGATTACCTACATACATATATGTATGATAGTAAACAGATAACGAGAGCAGGAATTTTAAATATTAATATTAAATAATTGTTCAAATTGATGATGAAAATCTTCTTCATATATTGTCCATTCATTTAATAAATGATCTAAATTTTGAAATATATTCTTTATATTTTTACTATTATTATAATCATTAGTCATATCAATATTTTGTATTAATAAATTAATATCATGTTCAATAGTATTTAATTTTTGCCATGTTTGTTCATTATTAAATTGTAAATATGCACGTTTTAATGCATATAATGTTAATGATGAACATTCATTTAATAATGATATTAATATTGAAAGTTTTTTTTCAAATATATTTTTATATGAATTTTTTATTGAAATTTTTTGTTTTTTATTTGTTAATTTAATATTATTAATAAATTGTTGTTGAATATATTCATTTGTTAATGGATGTTGATCAGCTAAATAATCATGAACGAATTGAATACGTTCTTGAGTTTTTATTGATAAAGATGATGTAAATTTTGTTTTTCTATTATGTTTGAATATTGATGATTGTTGATGATCATGATCAGATTTGAGCTAAAAGAATAAAAAAAAAATTATACTTCTGAATAGAGAATTATAGGTTTTTTTTTTTTTTATAAACTTCTTTTAGTTTTATTAGTAAAAAATTACAATCGTAGATTACAAAGACATAAAATCTATTAATTTTTCTATGTTATGATAAATACCTGCAAGCTAAAAAGAAAAAGAATAGATTCTTTTTTTTCATTATACGTAAATCTTCTTTTCGGAATAAATATTTGTAATATGTTCTGCTATTTTCAGCATTAATTTTGCCTTTCTATCGACTAACTAATCTTGAGATGATTTTGCGGAAGTTTGAAGAGAAAAAAAAGAAAAGAATGAATGTTTTTCCTTCGTGTCACTAAATCATTTTCGACAGCTTCCTAGAATGATCACTCGATTAATATAAAAATCTAAAAGAATTCTTTTATTCAATCTTTCTCTTTGAATAAACAAATCATATTCCAAGTTCATCAAGTATAATCAAAGGAATATTTAATCATAATATTAAACTATGTCTTTTTGACATTATAGAATTTTCTCATTAATATATTTAATTTGTAATTTGTCATAAAACAAAAAAAAGGGCTATAAAATTTCATGTCAAAAATATTTCATATATGACCTATTTCCGGTAACGCAAAACATATTCATCTTTCATTTGACATTAATTCTTTTAACAGGGTTATTTATTAGTTTTTGAATTAGGTTTCTTTTTTTTTATAGTTTACTATTAATTAGAAAAAATAAATATTTTTCTAAACATATGAAAAAGAAAAAAAAAAGAATTTAAAAAGTTCAGAATAAAATACATTTCATCTATGATGAAATTTTAAATTGAATTTTTGAAACTCAATTTACTATTTAAAATTGATTTTAAACTTCTTATTCGATTATAAGAATATTTTTTTATTTGTACTCATTGACATTGCTAATTTTTTCAAGATATTTAGAGTAACTTGACATATGCATGCTTTTATAACTAACTATCCAAATATAGAGGTAGAAATATTTTATTTCCGTATAGAAAGCTTATATAATGATAGTACAATGTTATTTGATCATTCTTCAACAAATATCATAAAAATAAAATGTTGATAAGAACTGTTTTTCTATGATATGTGACAATTATACCAATGGCTATAAAAATGACAAGTGCATATTTTTGGAAAATAAATGGTGTCTGAAGTTTATTGAATCGATTTTATAATTGACGAAGAAATTCATTTTTCTATTTCGAACAATAAAAATCGCACCTTTCTATTCCTAATTTCTATCAAAATGTTATTCAAAAACAAAAAATATTCACTTGTCCTTT